AATTATTCTAACCACAAGAGAAGGCAAGAAGCAGAGAGCAGGTACAACCACATAATACCTGATTTAGTCTCAGAATCTCTGGCAGGGCAGACAGATAACAGGAGTCTCCCAAAGGCAATTACCAAAGACTGGAGGAAGTGACTGCTTCTTCAAATGAAAAGACAGTAATGTAAAACTTCAAAGAACAAGAAAAATTAAGGTATAACATGACACTACCCAAAGATCGCTATAATCTTACTGGGAGTCCAAGACCTGGAGAGCTGTACTATACCTTGAATATACTTTGTACATACTATACAAAGATTTCAAAATAACCTTTAAGGAAACACAGCCAGCCACAAGAAAACAGAGTATTCAATGTATCCAGAAAACAATACACAAACAAAACTAGAAGTTTAGCAAAGATAGAAATCATAAAATATAACCAAACAGAAATCCTGGAGCTTAAAAATACAATGAATGAAATGAAAAATGTAATAAAGCACAGCAATAGCCGACTTGATCAAGCAGAAAAAAAGAATTTGGAGACTGAAGACAAGAACTTGGAAATTATCCAGTCAGAAGAGGAAAAAAAGATGAACTAGAATGGGGTCATCAAAGGACAAATTATTAGAGTTATAGAAAAGTTAATGGATAAAGAAAAAACAACAACACAAGGCCCAACTATATGCTTACAAAAACTTGCTTTAACTGTCCTTAAAGTTATGCACATACACACAAAATGAGTGAGAGAAAACGATATTCTATGACAGCATAAAGCAGAAAATAGCAGGGGTAACTATACATATATCATATAAAATAGACATTAGGCCAAAAATAGTGAGAAAAAACAAAGAAGGTCATTATATGATGGTACAGGATCAACTGATCAAGCTAATATAATGATCACATATGTCCAATATCAAAGCATTGGAAAATATTAAGCAAAGGATTTTATTCTCTGGCTAAGTGCAATTTATTCCAGGAACATAAACAAATTTTTGTTTAACAAAATCAGTTAATATGATACATCACATTATATGAAGTCGGTTTGGAGAGGCATTGGGCTCAGTAAGCGGTGTTCTTGGGTTATTTCTGAGAAAAGTTTCATCAGAGCTCCCCTTTCAACAGCACCCAGTGAGTTTCCCCATGAGGCAGAGGCATTTAGTCATATTCAAAAGGGCACGTTTTTTATTAAAAAAGGAAGGGAAGTCAAGGATGCTTGCACAGACACAAGTGGGCAGAAAAGCTGCCTGAGGATAGGTTTGCTCAAGGAGACACCACAGGAGGGCAATTTGGAAGGACAGTTGCCTCTGCTGCTTTGCAAAAGGAGAAGGTTCATGAAGAGAAACACCAGCACACAGGTGGGCAGGAGAAGCTGCCTCTTGCTAGTGCAGAAATTGTAGTGATATAGTCTTCTCTCTGGGAGGGGTTCATTCCACTGTGGAATTACTAATTGTTGTTAAAGTATTTCTAGGGTTGGTGCCTAAGAATTTCTTTTTCCTGTATTTGCTCTAAGTAGATTTGAGAGGACAGTAGTTGATTCTTTACAATGGCCCTTGGGCCTTCATATTCCTGCCCCCAGGTCTGTGCCTCTGGATACTTTTAGATAGCATGTTTAGTGACTATGCTAATTATTTCTACTCCCACCTCATACATCACAAGACTGTGATGCCTCCTTCCCAAACAATGATAATGATGGAGGCTAAGAGCAGAAAATTTAGGAAGGAGACAATAATACTTTCTGGAAACTAAATCATAGTATGAAAAAAACACTTTATACTTGTCATCTTGTATTTCTCTTTCGCAAAGAAAATGATTATTGCTTTGTGTTTTGTAGAGCATGGCCAAAAAACAGGAAACTCAGAAAAAGTTCAAAGGGCCATCTCACTTTCAAAACCTTTCTCCTATTATATCCTTAGATGTCCTCTTTACCTTACAAGGCATTTTCCTCACAGCTGATCCCATCTACACTAACAAGTTTAATTAGCACTTGTGGACTAAGGAAGTAAAATTCTACATTTCTGCTTTGCTGAGAAATGTCTGGTCTGCACAGATTGCCTCCAGAGGATGGAGTCAGTGGAACAATGATTTTGGTTCACTGAAAAATCCTGGATAAAGAAACAAATGAATGTCTGAAAAAGCCTGCAGACGAAGCCCCTGTCATGTTTCCTGACTTACAGGAGGGAGGATGAGGTAACAGCCTGGCTGGGCCTACACATCAATAAGGGTACTTTTGGAATATGGAGAATCAATTAATCTTTGATCCTTGTGTTACAGTCCCAACCAACAAGAGTGGGTCCTTTGCCTTCTCACAATAAATTTCACCAGAGAGCACTAGGTATAGCTGAACCAGGCAAGACCTTATTAGAGAGATTCATGCAGGAGGGAATCGGTGCCAGAAAGGAGAATTTAACCTGGCTCCTTGGAGGGAGTGAGGAGATATTTATAGGGTAAGTCCAGGCAGTGGCAGGAGAGCAGCCTTATTCTGGGTTGGGCTATGCTTGGGCATGCGCAGACAAGTTACATTCCAATTGTGTATATCGTTAGGATCTAATCCTTTTTGTTCAGCATGGTACCTCATGATCAGTGTGATGGGCCAAATTGTTTGGACAAAAAACCAACCAAAGAAATAAACCAAAATAACACACACACACAAAAACCCAAATTGTTTGAACAGGGCTTGTCAGTCCATGATTTAGTCCACCTGTTCAAACAGCACTTGGTATAACTAACTCATCCCACCTGCCCGAAATTTCTTTCACTTAGGCTGTGTCACGTCCATCTTCCAAAACACAGATATCTCAAGTTACATTAGCTCTGTAAAGGCAAGGGATTGCTTTGAACTTATGTTTTTCCTTTATCAATTAGGTTTATTAGAAGAACCATCCTTTAGTTAACTGAAAATGTTGGAAATTAACCAGATGCCTTCTTTATGAGGAAAAAATAATTATATATTTTTTTCTGTGTGTGTAAAACCCACGTAAGGAGGCCCAAAACGCTAAAGGTGGAGCAAGTCACTCAGAGAAACCTGATAGTCATGTCCTGGGCCCTGGTCCTCAGTTTGGTTCTAAATAACTGATAGAAATTAAGAGTAGAAAATCTGGGATGAAACCATTGCAAGACCAGAAACTAGAAGTGGGGGTAGAAATGATTAACATAGTTGTCAAGCCAGCTACAGAAATGAAAAATCCCTAGGTATGGACTGTTATCAACAAAGCAGATTGCTATAGAAAGTATCCAGAGGCGCAGCGCAGAAGTGGGAATATGCAGACTGATTATAGAGAATCACTGGTTCTTACAAAATCAATCTAGTCACACCTTGGTAGTAATTAATCTAACAATAGATAATAATTCCACAAAGGAATGAATCCCTGCCCCAAAGAAGAAAACTATCAGTTACAATTTCTACAATTTCTGCATTTTCCACTGGCAAAATAAAGCCCTTCCAGCTCCTGGTGACTATGCAGGTGTTTCTTTGTACAATCATTTCCCCTTTGCAAAGCAGCAGCAGCAACTGTTTGCCTGCTTGAATCTGTGCAAGGGTCTTGCTTTCCTTTCCTTTTTCTAATAAACCTGTCCTTTTTAAGATGGAACCGTCCCCTGCCTGTATCTGTGCAACTGTCCTCTATGGGGTAAACTTGCCCTGTGCTGCTGAAAGAGGAACTCTGCTAAAACTTTTCTCAGAGGTAACCCAAGGACCCCATTCAGTGAACCCTACATCTCATCAAAATGACATAACCACTTGATAAATTTCTTTTACTAAACTTTGGATTCACTTACAGAGGTGTTTATTTCAGACGACACACATAAAACCCAAATGGTATAATTCAGAGTCAGCCCCAATTGCTCATTGTAAGTTAAGGTAGAAAGTATCAGGCTTTTCTGCCCTCTCACCATCAGGATAGATGAGGGAACCCTGCGGTCCTGAATGCATGCCTGATGGCGGGCACCTGGAATAGGGTGTGGACATAGGTAGATGGGATTCACCTGGGCTAAGACTGGGCTTTTATGGGTGGCGTCATGGGGACGCCAGCAGAAGCCGAGAAAGAAGTAGAGAAGCAGAACAGAAGCCAAGAGAGAGAAAATGCTGGAGAGCCCAGATAGAGTGAAGACTTGCTGGGGGCTTGGAGGCCTGCTGGCCTGCCAGCCTCCCAGCCCCCCTGCTTGCCATGTACCTGGTAAATCCCAATAAAAGTTGGCAAAGCCACCGAGGGCTCCAGGACTCCTCTTTTACCCGGTCTGCTGGATCAGAAAACTTGCCCTGTGTCCTTCCTGCCCCTACGCTCATCTTTTCTTGTCTACCTAAATAGAGGTACTTTGGGATCATTATAGCCAAGGTTAACTCATTATTTTTTCACCAAAACAAAAGTTAAAATATTTAAAAATATATAATAAATAAAAATCCCAGTTCTTCTGTTGCCAAACCTGACTAATGGCATTACCTTTTCCACTCAAGAAAGCTTGATTCCCTGCTCTGACTATACATTGTCAGTCACTAAGTCACTGCTTTGATGCTACTCCAGTAAATTTTCCACTTTTTGTTAATCGCACGAAGGAAAACCTCTTGTCCACTGCCAAAAGACAACATTGGGGGCTTAACCACTTGAGAGCTACTGCTCTCTACTCCCACCTTTCACCATTAATTACTCCAGTAACCATGAAAATAAAATCAGTTGTCCCCATCCCTCCTGGCTGCTCTGGTGCTGGGCCTGGGTTCTGCCTGTAACTGGCTCCAGATAAACAGCCTTATCACTTTCTTACTCTACAAACTTGAATGTGGCTTTACAGTAATTTGTGAGAACCAAGTTTCTTTGTCTCTGAAATGGGGATAAACCAATAATGAGTTCAGAGATAAAGAATGTCAAGTACCCAAAGCAGAACGTTTAATGTGTTCTCCTAGCAAATTCTTTGTCCTGTTTCAGATGACTTCCACTCCTCTCTGGCAGAAGTAACTCAAATAGATTTTGCCATCACCACACCGAAAACCAGAAGTGCCCAAGAGCTCTGCGCCATCCTACCTTACATAGGTCTTGCAGGGGAGGTCATCGTTACTCCAGTTCAGTGTTTCCCAAAGCACACTCTGCACGATAGCTGCTTTGCAAATCACTCCTAGGAAAAAGGCGCCATGGTTAATCAGTGCAATGGCTAATCAAAAAAACAGCACTTGTAGCTTCATTTTGAGGAGTCACAATGAACACTAGCTTAGAAGCTTCTGAAAAGAAGTCCCTCGGTAAAGAATTACACCCAATCAAACATTTTTACAGTTTTTTTGACAGTAGGTGCCTTTCTTGGGTAAAAAAACAAAAACAACAACAAAAAAACTTTTATTATTTCAAGGGATATACTGTGGTCAGCTCACTGGGCCCTAATTTCCCAACTTCCTCACTCCCTTTTTGCAATAATTCCTGATTCTGGAGTTCCAACTGGACGAAGTACATTGAGGCTAACATAGAACAAGCTGTTATTTATTATATTTCATGCACACACTAACACAGACATCAGACCTACATACAGGTTATGACAGTAAGGCATGGTATGGATAAGGTCTAGAGTCCTATAGATTATCCCACTGTATTGACCTCTGAAGGAGGTTCTGTGACTATTCCTGTCACATTTCTTACCATTAGGGAGGACTATAATGTGAGGGACCCTCTCCTATTTCAACACCTTGCTGCTTCCTTCACTGGGTAGATGAGGCTCGTGGTTCCTCAGGGGCCACGTGCAACTTTCAAGCCAGGGCTGGGGCTGCCCGCATTAATCCTGAAGGATCACCCAATTGTCCGGTAAAGGATAAAGCTCAGAGGGCTGAGAAACCTGTATGTTGTTTTACAAATATGGAGTCTTTGTTTTTCTAAAGCCTATGTCTAAACCAGGAGTGGGAGCTGATTTTCTTACATTTAGAGCTCTAGTCTCTGCTAGTGCCCCACGCCTCCCAGCAGGCATCTTTCTCCGCATCCAAGCTCCGCTGACTAGATTATATTAATTTTATATGAATGAGACAGCAGCTGCATTAACTGGCATAAGCACCAGCCACCGCTTAACGGGAATGAACCGGAGCGAAAGGCAAGGCTGCCCCCAAGTGGGGAACCCACAAAGAGCCGCGACACTTAACACCTGAGTTCAGGCAACTGACTGGCTGCGCATTTTCAGCTCCAGGGACCCCGCCTCACCTTGAGAGGCGCTGGGAAGGAAAAAGGGGTGCATGGGGGTGTTGAGGAAAAACAGGCGAACCTAGTGTCTCCCAATCTATGGAGCCCATAAAGAAACGATTTAAATTCAGATTCCCAAGCTGGACATTGTGATTTCGCAAGACCAGAGTGGGGTCCAGGGTTTCAAACCCTCGTGATTCTGGTTTCTAACCTGGTGATTCTGGGCACGAGGCAAAGTTGGAGATTCAGGGCTGGGAAGCAACTTTCTGTTTTCCTTTCCAGGGTTCGGGGCGCGGGCTGGGCTCGCGGGGCGCGGTCCCCAGAAGGCGCCGTCTTTCCTGGGCATCCCCTGGACTCGGCTCCCGAGGCTCCCCGGCAGCCACTGCGCGCGACCCCTCCCCCCACCTAGGATCCGCCCCGCCACCGCCGTTTCCATGGAGACCTGCGCCGCGCGCGCGCCGCGTCCTACCTGTGTCAGGTTGCACCTCTCTGCCCTCGCCCAGCGCTCAAAGCCGGACGGAGGAGGATTCTGGTCCAGGACAGTCAGGCTGAGAAGTAACTTTTAAAATTATATATTATTCTTTTTGCTTATTAATCTTACTATTTCTTCTGCCCATTCCTTATTAAAGATGAGTTTTAAGAGTTTTGCATTTTTGTTTCTTTTAGGGGAAGGGAATATACATGTGATTTGTCTTTCTAGTACTGTAATGTAACATTTTACCTTTAGATTTAATTGTTTTAAGCAGACTGACTGATCCCAGATCTGAAGGAATCCTTGCTGTACTTGCTTTAGTGATTTGGGTGCTCGGTGGTGATCCGGACACTCAGTATGTGGCTTATAATTGTGCCAGTAGCTGGCCACACCAAGGTGATTACCAGGCCCTAGGCTTCCAGTTCTTTTAAAAAAAAAATTATTTTGTTTATTTATGCATACAAGAGCTGGCGTGTAGGCCAGAGGTGCAGGGAGGGGGGTGTGTGTGTGTGTATTCACCAGCGACAGAGTGGGGAGAAGAACAGGCGGATTGACTGAAGTACACTGCTGAGAGGAGCAGCTGGCGGGACAGGAGAGGTCTGCTGGTCCATGTGGATTAGCTCCCTGGCCAGGGATAGAACTCTTGGTGCAGTGGCTGCTGATAACTTCATAGTGCTGAGACTTAACCTCCCACCAGGGAGTATCCTAGGCTTCCAGTTCTTTACTGTCTGATCTTACCTTTCCTTCCAAGGTCTGCTGCCTTAACTGTACTGGATAAAGGAGGTCAGGTGATCACAGGGCCCAAGAGGGAATGCAAAGAGTGTGCGCTCAGAAGCATCTAGACTGAATTTGGGGCTCCGAAGCCCTCTTTATTCTAATCAGTGTTGGCCAGCTCATTCTGATCAACTTCACTTAGGAGAGGGCCACACCTTCTGGTTGTCAACACTTAGGCCTGAATGTATCCCTCAAAAGATGTCTTAGGTAATTTGATGGCCATGTTTCAGTGAGTGGGTCCTACTACAGGTGGCTATCAGTATTTACTTTCAGATGGTGTTTAGAGTTCAGTCACCTGGATGAATGCTGAAGGTACTTCTTGACTCCTGCAGTTTGGGTGTTCAAGGTGGCCGGCTGCTAAATGGAAATCTTGCTGCCTCAGGAAACAGGTTGATATGAGGAGTGAGTGCCTCAGAGGAGAAATAGGGAACCCTAGGGAATAGTGTTGCTTTTACTTTTCACAGAATCCAATGGGGAACTATTATTATCTTCAGTTTACAGAAGAGGAAAGAGAAGGCACAGGGAATTTCAGAAATTTACCTAGTGGTTGAGTCCAGAATTTAACCCACAATGAATGTAATTTCCAAGTTCATACTCAGTATACGGAATTTAGCTTCATTTTCTTTCGTTTTCAAGGGGCTTTTATACAAACCCTACACCCTCATTAACTTAATCACATCTATCCACTAATTTAACAGTGAGATGTTTCATTTCTGCCCCTGCCATCTGACTGTAATGCCAAGGGGACAGAGACAAACGTATCCATTTAATTGTTTTGTACCTGGCACATGATAGGCACATATATTTATCTTATAAATTAGCAAAAAGAAGGAAATATAACAGATTTATAATTACCTTTTCTGGGTCATGTATCTAAGATATTTTATTCCCATTTATTCCTGAAGCATGCGGCAGGAAAGTAATATAAACCCTCTCCACTAACACCCGAGCCCCCGCCTTTTACCAATGCAGAAACGGAGGAAAAGATATACTCATTATAGTATGCACAAACCCAGGATTGTTTGCTAGACTCCAAAATCGATAGTTTTTCCACATACCACAGTCTGCTGGATCATCTAGAATAAGGTAGTAGTGGTATGAGAAAGGTTGAGTTTTTTTTTCTTAAGTGAAAAATGAAAAGTAAAAATCTGATTGTAGATGTGTTATTCTTTAGTCTGTCAATAAGGCCTTGCATGAAGAGAGAAAGTATGTGAATAACAGCAAAATGCCATGTTGGGAGACTACCTCATTTAGAAGAGATTGTTCTTTCATTTGAGTCCTGGTTTAGGGAACCCTGAGCTTATACATTAAATTGGGCCAGGGAAAACTAGAAGCATTTTATCTATCAGTTCCTTTTATCATTGTCCTGCTAGATATGTGTTAACTGGAAATAGTCTCAATGATTGACAAAAAATTTATTAGATAATCAAGGTGAGCATTCAAACCGGGGACATAGCCCAACAGATTTACTCTGTGAGAGCTGTTCTGATATATACAGGTTTGAATATTCTTTGTATCGCTAGGAACAATGCGTAATTGACATTAAGAATGTAGTTATACTTGACAGGACAGGCTTTTAGTTCTAAATTGTTCTGACCTAAGATCTGCTAATGTTAGTGGAGAACAATGCAGATTTAACCTCTTGCTTTCTAAAGAGTACTTTGCAGAGATGCAAACACTGGCTTTACCTTCTTTCTCTTCAGGCAGCAGAAATCCTGTACAAGCTGCAGCAAGGAGCCTGTTTACACTTTAAGTCTATGAAGATGGCTTTGCTCTCTTGCTTGTTAGATGGGGTGGAGTAGGGGGTGGTAGTGAATTTCCAGAAATTTTATGAAATGTTCACAAATGGAATTGCAGGACTTTTGTTTCATTATTTTAAACTGCAAAGTTTATGAGTAAGCATTTGATGCGTAATAATGGAGTCTGTTGAGGGCTAAGATTTGCTGTGGAATATGTCATGTTTTTTAAAACCTGTGTTGTGTTTCCTGATTTATCTCTGCTCTGTTCTGATTACTTAGCAGAACAGATATGATTTAACTTTAGGTAAAATTCAGTCTCTATTTCCAGCTATAACTGTCACACTCCTACTTTTCCCAGCCTTTAATTTAACATAGTTAACGCTTATGTTTTCTCCCTTTTGGTTCTCATTTTCCTTAATTTCCTCTGTTGTCTTTCTTCTTTTGTCCTAATCATTCACCTTGCCTTTGCCTGCATTTTTGCTCTTCCTCCTGGGGACTTTAGGGGTGACGGTCACTTTAGCTTTCCTGTTTGACTGTCTTAGAGAAAATAGCATCTTGTTATGCCTGTAGGTGGCATGTGCAGACTGCAGTCTGAGAAGGGCTTGGGAGGTGATGCTTAATTCTTGGATGTTTTCAGTGGATTGACTGAAACAGTATTGAAACAGTGAAGCACTGAGATCTCAAAGAAAACCTAGCATTCAACAAGGAATAAGATGTAGACTTATTAAGCAAACAACTGTTTATCTATGTGTGCTGACAGTGCCTGTTCTGCACCATGCTCTTCAACAATTACAAATCATAATTCTAGAACACTTTCTTTTTTTCTATTTAGCTTCAGGTGTTTTCTTTTCCATGGGCAGGCCAGTCTATTTGTGTTTGAATTGATCATCTGTTCATTTCGGATTTAAATACACAACTTGAGCTGTGTGCTGGTCATGTCAATATAGAACCACCTAAATAATTAGAAGCATAAAGTCGTATGTCCAAGAATTAAGAGCAAGAACTCTGGAACTAGTGGACTTGAACTCTTTCACCTGTGAGCTGTGTGACCAAATTGCTTAACCTCTTTGTACCTCTGTTGTTAAAACATTAACTGTTATGTGTTAGCAATTGTTATTGTCATTAATGGTTGTCCTTAGATCCCACTGAGCCATGATATATCTATAATTCTATATCTATATCTACCAAGGGTTTTTGTTATTAAGTCACTGGTTTCCAGATTTCCGAGGTCATTGGCATATGACTTCCTGATAATGTGCTTTCAGGCTGTCCTCGTTTATCATCAGAAAGTTATGGAAAGGGCACTGGACTTTCCAACGCCACAGGTTCCCTTGAAATTTGGCTATGGCCACTTAACATCTATGGGCATAGTTGTTCTCCTCCTCTCTCTGGATTTGCATGTTTATCTCTAACAAGTGACAGGCATCATTGTCCTAGAGAGAGCCAAGGGCCGCACTGTGGCCCTAATGACACTAAACTGCATCACGACAAAAATAAAGTCATATGAACTAAATAGATGCCGGAGGCTAGCTCTGGTGAACAGGGTTGAGCCATAGAAATTATCAAGAAATGATATACACAAAAATAGAGCTGAAGCGGGAGCCAGGGGACGCAAGGCCTCATTCGTGGTCAAGTGTGCCAAGTGCCCGGTGCAACTCGTATTTATTGATACAAGCAGCCCCCCACCCCTCCACCACCTCAGGTTAGTTACTAGACAATGAAGTATTCTCTTAGCATTTGGCCCTGTCCGGGCACACATTCACCACCAAGGTTATGCACCATCAGGTCATTCTATTTCTTTTTCTAATCTAGTTTGTCCCCTAGACGTAGCTTCACAGACAAAAGAAAGAATACCCTAATCTGTAATGGGCCAGTCCTCTGACCCAGTTTTTTAGCCATGATCAGCTTTTTAGCAATGACCTTGATGTTTTCCTTGTCTCAGCACTGCATGCCTTAGGGTTCTCCAACAAATAGACATTTCTCTGAAGAAGACATGCAACTGGAAATGAAAAGCTGATCGACAACACTAATCACCAGGGAAATGCAAATCAAAACCATAATGAGATACTACCACATATGTATTAGGATGGCTGTTATTAAAAAATAAAAGGTAAGTGTTGGGAAGGATGTGGAAAACAGGAGAATCTCTGTGTGCTATTGATGAGAAGGTGAATTGGTGCATTCAGTATAGAAAACAGTATGAAATTTCCCTTATTCTCTAAAATGGATAGATCTCTTTCCCCTAGAAAATTCCGTGATACAAATATTTATTACTTCCAGGACAGACAGTGTTTTCAGAAATTACTTGTCATTGCATAAGTATGTGTTTAACAGAAAGTGTCCATTTAGTATTATTTAGTATCAGCATTATTTGCATAGTATTATAACTTCATACTGTTTAGTAATACCTAGAAATGCATTTATTTATGAGATCCATTTCCTATTGGGCATAGTCATATGTAACCTGAGAGCACTGAATAGAAGTTAGAGAAAGGAGGTAGTAGAAATTAAGTATAAGTCAATGGAACAGGACTTGTTAAATATCAGATTTTGGTTTCAATCTGAAAAATTTTCTCCAAAAACGACATGATAGTCATTATACTTACTGTATAACGTTTAAGAAATATACTTCTTTGAATTTAGTAGTCAGTTTTATGTGAATATGCATTTATGCCTTTCAGTGTCATTTGTTTATTACTGAAGCCATTCTTACTTCAGCTCATATAAAGATTCTTCAGGGGCTTTAAGTGAATCAGGCCACCCCTCAGCAGTCTACACCCCTCTGCCTGGGCTAAGATTCTTCTGCCTATATTGTCTCTCATTTGGAAACCTCCATACATGCTCTTCCTTCTGCCAGAAACATTCTTCCCTTCCTTTTCTTGGATTGGCTAACTTGGTTATACTGCAGTTTTGCAGAGTTTTCACATCTGCAGAAGTCTGTTTGCCATTTCGGTGGCTCCCAAGTGTCCTGAGCCCCTATAATCTCAAAAATACATTGTGCTCTTCTAACAGGAAGAATGCTGGTTAATATTCCCTTCCCCACAGTGAACCTTGTAAAATGATTTGGTTTCAATAATTATAGGGATCCCTAGGTATATAAGCTCAAAGGGGCCAGAAAAGAGACTGATTGCCCCACACAGAAGAGGTTTGAGGAGCTGGGGTGGTGTCCTCCAGAGGAATGGTGGAGAGTTATGGAGATACTCATATTGATTAAATCAGAGGTAATTCATGTTGAAAAGGGGTTTATGAAGTTGCACATCCTGTGTTACATTTCTAAGAAATCAGAATGGCTAATACAAAATTATGAGTATTTGATGTATTTGGATATTTCGTAGAAAGAAAATAAGGGGTGGGTGCCGGGGACCAGCCTCGGCAAAATGTCGTGTCAGGGGTTCCTGAAAGGATGAGACAACGAAAGGACTGAGGGGAAGGGGGTGAGGTAGAATGAGGAGACACTGACACTTGGTGAGGTGCTAGTATCTTCTGCTGAGAGACTCAGCAGGTCTTTATTTATTCATTTTTAGTAAGCAGAAAAAAAATACATTGTCATGTGTAAAGCAGAAACAATTAGTGTATTTTATTTCCATGGACTACTGGCTCCTACGGGTCCCAGCTAGAAGGTAGCCTTCAAGGTTAATAGATAAAAAACCAGACCTAACACTAAACCTTATTTTTTCAGCTAGACAATTATTTAAAACAGTGGATAGCAGCCAGTGCATCCCTATCAGCTAAAGCCTAAGCAAGAAAAGACTTCTTATTCTCATGGCCTTCACAGCAGGGGCCGGCTGCTACTCAGCTATCAGAACTTTTTCTACCTAGACACTCCTTAACTCAAATAGCTTCATTTAAAAACCTTCCCAAGAAACTTAAAGGGAAGGCAAAAGAAGGACCTACTATAATAGTTGTATTGTAATGCTTGTCAGGCATGTTCAATAACTTGTCTCCCATTGTCAAGTGGGCCAAATTGTTTAATAATTAGTTTCTAACAGATAATTTTCTGTGCCGTTTATTTGCAGTATACTGATGCATATAATATAGTGTCTAATGTACTTTTTGGGAAATTTTTCTCTTTTTATGATCAAGAACAAAGAGTGAAGGGATGTTAAATCTTCAGCCCCACAGTGTGAGGCACAAGGAATCTTTGGCCCCACGGTGTGAGGCCCTTTAGCTTCAGCCCCACGGTGTGAGGCCTTTTGAACTTCGCTGCTTGCCAGTGTCTTATCTGGCTGGGGCACAAGGCCTCCTGCAGCAGGTGGGTATTCAGTGGGGAGGGACTAAACTAGAACATTCAAGGGAAATGGTCATACTTTCAGTATCTGTTTTCTCATCTGTTCCTGCTCTAGACCCAAGGCTTTAAACTTTCTGCCTTATTCCTTCCATGTATAACATGCAGCAGGTCCTCAATAAAAGCCAGAGAGTTAATCTTTGACCAAGCTAGAGCTTGTAGTATTGGACAACCTTTTTGAAATTAGAACCATGTTGACAATACTAAATGAAGAAAAATCAAGTAATGTTTGGGACAGACACTCTCCTGAATTTAGAGTCATGTCAGTCCTGAGGACATGGATGATGAGAAGTTGAGAAATGCATAGTTCACACAATCTTTGGGAAATAAGAATTTTAAAACTTAGGGTTTTTTTTTTTTTTTTTTTTTTTTGTTTGTTGTTTAAAAATCAAGAGCCCCTTTAGTGTCTTCCTTCTCATAGGACTCTTGCAGGAAGGATAAGTCCTGCCCCAGTGTGGGAAGATCTTGACCACTGAGCACTTTGGATGGGACCAGAAATCATATTTCCATGCTTGTGATTGACAGTGAAATAGAGGAAATACCTATGGATTTGAGACCAGGAGATCTGAGTTCTGATTTCAGCTCAGTGATAATAATTCTGTGTCTAGACAAATTGCTGACACACATGGAAACTCACTTCCTGCATCTGAACTTTATAAAGGCTCTGACAATCAAAGGAGAGAACGTATGAAAACTGACCACACAAATAGATTGTGAATTTTTAAGTTACTAGAGTCAGCCATGCTCACACTCATTATTCATTCTGTCAGAAATTTCCAGGGACTGATTGTGAACAGTAAAGAGAGGCTGAAGAAGTCTATGTGTAAATGAGTTTTTCTTAAGGATATTTTTTTCTATCACTTATTTGCAAATTATTGGGGGTGCCTCAAGAAAACTTGGGTGAATTAGAGGTGGGGAGAAGTTTTGTTCTGCAGAACTTGTCTTACAATGGAAATAAAAGTCCCTAAATATTTAATCTTTTTGGAGTGTGGGGTTGTTAGGGGTCAGTCCAGCATTGGTGAGTAGCATATACAATTGGCAGGTGACCTTGAGGGACTATTTTTTTTTTTTTTTTGCTTTTTTGCTCTGTCTGGCCTTCCTAGTCTTAAGCATCATTCTGTCTCTCCCTGGCCTGGCCTGGCCTGGCAGAGCATTTAGGAAGAATACATGGGTGTGAGATGGTTATACTAGTGAGTCTGAATACATTTTCTTTTCCTGTCTTATTTTCTTCTTCCTTCATTCCTCTTTTAGACTTTCTTTTGTTATTTTTAAATTCCTATGCCATTTATAAAATCAAAGTAACTCCTATACTTGGTAAAATAAATTAAACAGTAGAAAAATCTTGAAATAAACTAGGCTATTATGGTCATCTTCTGTTTATATTCATCTACTTATCATATATCCCCTGCAAAAGAAAAAATTAACCTTTCTTATTTAGTGACTAAGACCCATAGCATGATTAAATCATGACATTATATTCATTACCATTGCAGATTATTCAACTGCCCTCAAGTTCTTATCAAAATGTTAGTTGGGTTGTAGGATGCTAATGGATATATATTTTTTTTTTTTTTAAAAAGACTTATTTATTTATTTATACAAGCACTGGGTACAGTCAGAAGCACGGGAGGGTGAGAGAATTCACCAGAGCCAGAGCGGGGAACAGAACAGGCAGATTGACGAAATACACTGCTGAGGGGAGCAGTGGGCACAGCAGGAGAGGTCTGCTCACCATGTGGGACCCTCGCTGGTAGCTGGGGATTGAACTGGCGCTGCAGAGGCTGCGGGCAGCTTCGCAGCCCAGCACTCAACCATTGTGCCACTGGGGAGGCCCGCTAATGGATATATTGAGTATAGGGCCACATTTTAGGTATATAGATAGAAGGATCATAGATAGTGCATAGTTTTTTAATGTCTCTGCATTTTCATTTATAGATGGATCCCTTACCTCCCATACTCACTGAACATTTTTCATGGGATGAAGCAGACACTCCTCGAACCCGTGACCTAAAACACTTACGAGCCAAGCGTGTCGCTTACTATGAAAGCATTGGAATTATCAAGGGTGATACTTCCAGAAAAGGCAGTCACCCTTTGTCAATCGCATCCCAAGACAGCAAAGTGAATCCCTCAGAAAAGCCAACCTTTGGGCTGAGCAGCATTCAGATGTCACCTAATTATTTAGCAATTGGAAAGAAACCTCTACCCCAGGAAGAGTCCAATGTGGCTCCAGGAGAAGCAGAGCAGGTTCAGGACCAGCGACCCCAGGAGGGACCTGGGAGAGAGAGCTGCCTAACAAAATTGGATCTCCATTTGTTGGCTGATGCGTTGGTCCCTGAGAGACAGAAGCTGCGACATGTTATAAATTGGGCCCAGAAGTTCTTGTCTAACCCTTTGGAAGAGTACAGTTTGAATTGTCCCCAAAATTCTCCAACATTCCCTCAGTCTAACTTTTGCCAATGTTCAAAAGCTCAAGGAAGTAAGAAAAATGTCCATCCAAAGTCATTGCATTTTCCACCCCTTCTCAAAGAAGACCAGTGTAGCACACAGACATACATTCCTAGTTTCTTTTTAAGCCCCTCAAATAACTTTTTAGAAGAGGACTTGTCTTCAGAATTTTCAGATTCCTTCCTGAAGCAGAAGTTTCCCAGAAGTCACTCTTGTGAATGGCAAGAAACCCCAGTTATGAATGAGGGGGAGGGAGGAGCTTCCAGGTCTCCCCTTGATAGTTTTCAGCCAGAAGATTCCATTCAAGGAAAGGATGAAAGATTAAGAAATTGTTGTATTCAAAACCCTCATGAGGATAAAATGTTTCCTGAGAGGCTGAGGGTTCTGCCACAACTTAGACACACTTCTGAAGTAAGTGAAGCTTTAGAGGAAGCCAGACAGAGTCCACTCAGAAATGGTTACTTCTGGAGTCCATTGACAGACAGCTCAGAGGAGGAAGGTTTAGAAGAAACAGAGGAGAATAAAGGGACATTTAGGAGGGGTGTTTTAGGCCAGAATTATAGAGGGTTTTCAGGAATTGCCTTTTCTCCCACAAACCACAGCACATTAGTATCAAAAACTACTGTGCAAAGGGCCTCCCCAGGGGAGACACCCCTGGAGGCCGAATCTAGGGGGTGGTGCAGAGAAGCAGCAGAGTCCCCTGTGGAGACCTCTAAGGAAGTCACAGTGGAATCCAAGGCTGACAGCTCCAGAGGTGAAGACCTCATCCAGCGACTCCCTGGGAGTGAGTGCATAACCCCCAGTTACAACTCTGATGGAAGGAGCAGGAAATCAGACAGTATGGGGTTCACTTTGAGGTCTCTCCATACTGATATTAAGCATAAAAGTGACTGCAAACATGCCCTCATGGAACAGGCAGGGAAGGCTCTCCTGGGGGCGGTGCCAGGAGGCAGTCACAACAGAAGCGTGCAGGGTTCTGCCACATGCAGCCCTCCTGTGATGACTCAAAAGCAATTTGATCTAATGCTTCCTGAAAGTTATTTGGCTCCTCAAAATGTCAATCTACCACTGGATGTGTCAGAAGGTCCCTCGGACAATGCTGTATTCCCTGTACGTTCAGATTCCACTGTCTTCTGTGGACCCACTGTGGATGCAAATGGTGCATGTGGCAGCACTTGGTGTGACCATTTGCCCCTACCTGAGAAGAATGACCAATCAGTACCCACAAGCCTAGTGGTTCCTGGGGAAACAACTCAAACAGAAACAGAAAAGACACTTTCTTCAGGTCACCCTATTTTCAGAAACATTTCCACAACTCATTTGAAGGGATCCGTTCCACCCCAGGATGTGGGCAATAGCCTCTCCTGGAGCGAAGAGCCACTAAGTAGCAAGGTGCCACCACAGCAAGGTGCCAGTGTCCTGGAGACTTACTTCTACTATGTGCATATGTTGAATAAGATCAGGGGTCTTTCTTCAGAAGAGAGGAATTCCTCTTTGCCTTTCCAGGAGTCTAGAACATCCAACTCACAGTCAGTAATCCCATCTCCAGGAGGGCAAGACTGGCCTAAAAGCAGCTTAGATGGGAAGACTAAGGGTTGGAGAGAAGAGGGGACCACCCATCCTCAAGGAGGAGCCTGTGTGGAAGAGGAACCTCCAGCAGACGCAGTTCCAGGAGAGGCCAGGTTTTGGAAACCTCAAGGCAACTATGGTATGAAACCAAAGCTGATGAAAAAAGTCTCATGACTGGCGAGTTTATTGGCACTTGTACAACATGGGGCACGGTCACTGGGAATGGGACATATATCCTTACCTTCATTTTCCGTAAATATAAATGTGAATTGTCTTGATTTCTTTGGGAATAGCAAAAATTCTATAACCTGAGGTGGCATAAACAACAAATGTTTATATCTCTCACTTCTAGAGACTGGGAGTTCCAGATGAAGGTACTGACAAGTCCAGTGTCTAGTGAGACCCACTTCCTGGCTCATAGGTGGCCCTTTCCTTGCTGTATCTTCAGATGGTGAAAAGATGGTGAAAGCAGAGAGGGGCAGAAGTTCTTTCCTGTTTATTCTAAGGGTACTAATCCCTTTCCTGAGAACTCCACCCTCATGACTTCATTTAATACTAATCACCCCCAGAGGCTCCACCTTTCAATATCACATTGGGGGGGGGTAGGCTTTCAACATACGCATTCAGTCTATAATGGAAATAATAATTACGCAAGCAAATTATAAGCTGTAAGGTACTGTTTTATTTTGTCAGACCAAAAGCCATTAGCCAATTAAAAGTAATCCTAGAAAATAGTTATTCTGAAAGATAAACTCTATGGCATTCTTCTGGTTGAATAGATATCTTTCTCAGGTGCTTGCATTTTTTATGAGGACGATGTTTCTATTCATTTTGCTGTCTAGTAGTTTGTATGGAAATAAGCATTTTACGCCTTTCATCTAAAATACATTTTAATAACCAAGCATTAGAAAATAGAATCTGCCTCTCCATTTTGAGTGCTATGTAGATAAAAAAAAAGATGAATGCATTTTCATTTCATAGAATAAGCTCAGATTAGGAATTTAAAACACCTTGCTAGATCTTTATGTAAAATTTTTTCTTATTTGAATTCATTCTCTCTCCTTGTTTTTTGGAAGTAGGTTACATGATTTGTTATAAACAATAGTGAAATATAATATTCCAAAGCTATTTTGAGATAAAGCTGAAATGGGAGAAGATACATATTATTAAAGTTTGCTTATAATATTCTTATAAGATTTGGAAAACTGACATGCCTTCTGTCAGTACAGATAAGAGTACATCTACAAAATAAAATCTGTGCAAAGAAAAATCTATACAATCTATATGAAACTTGAAGGATTTATAACTTTTTATTTTATACTTTTAGGAAGATTATGTTCTGCTACCCTTAAAAAGACATCTGGAATGAGCAGCTGTGGGGGATACAGGGAAATGCCTAATTCTGCTTGTTCATCTCATAAATATGGAGATACGAAGCCAAGGTTAGACTACTCTTTGTTTTCTCACATTTTAAATAGCTGCGTATCAACACTAGCAATCTTCTGAGAAATTTGTTGATATACTCATTTATACATTGTGGTAAAATTAATTATATACTGATGTCTACCATGTATAAGCTACTATGTAGGGTGTTGTAATGGACACAACAGGGAAGAAGAGGCAGTTATGCCATAGTGTGAGGTTCCCTAGGAGAAATACAAATAAAATGCTTGAACAGAATGTAAAGATATACTGGAATTAGGAGAAAACTTATTTACCAGATGGCAAGAGAGGCTTTGAAGGATGAATAGGAGTTCAATAGCTAAGATAATGAATACTGCTTGGTGGAAGTAACATGAACATTGTCCTAAACCTGAACATTGAAGAAGTAATGAATTGTCTGATGTCATCAGCTGTATTAATCAGGATTTGTTGAAAATGATGGAAGTACAACTCAAACTAATGAGGCTACAGAAGGAAATATTTGTTTATCTGAAAATTTGTTTAAGTTTCATCTAGCAAGTTAACAAAATAATATTAACATTCAACCTCTATTTCTTGGTTTTGCTTCCAAGATGCAAGAACCCTCATCCATCTTTCATATTATACTGGGTGACAGGGCATTCTTCCACAGAGGTATCACCTGAAGGAAATTTCTCTGAAGAGTTCCTTAACCTTTTCTCTTTGTTCTGGGATCCTTAGCCTGTGCTCCTGCTATCCCACCACTCTCAGATGTTGGCCACTTGTCTGTTTGCTCCCAGGCAACCTTTTTATCTTTCATGGAACCTAATACACAATGAAGTAGAATGTAAGGAGCATGTACAGGATAAGATCAAGTCTGCCCAGCTCACTAGGAACCAGTGCTGTGTCAGTACTTAAATAAGTGCTCAGTATTTTTCTACTGAATGAGTGAAAAAGTATGGTAATAAATGCAAAGTTCATGGAAAATTTGCCTTGTTTTAAGGTGATTTCTTCTTCCTATCACATATAATTTGTCTGTATATTATTACATATGTGGAAGATATATGTATAGTATATGGCCCCTCTATGTAATAATTTCTATTTTGTTGGCTTTAAGAATTTAAAGTTGGGTTCTTTTAATAAATAACCCAGATAATAACATCTCTCTCTTTTTAACACTCTTTTCTCTTAAAGCCATTTCTGGTTAAATTTTTTCTAAAATGTATTAGAAAGCTTTTTGCCATTTTAGTGTATGCCAGTCATAGTTAAATAATGTCTTGACAGTTGATTTCATTATACATATTCATTATCTATATTTCTATTTGCTCTTTTATTATTGTTTATCACATCTCTAAGTCTTTGCAGTTGTCTGAATATTATGTCATTTTCTGACTTTTATTTTCCTTCCAATCTGCTTTATATTTAGAAATGAATTAAATATACTTTTTAGGTTTGTATGTTAAATAAGAGTTAATAGGGCTTTGAGTGAAAGACCAAGAAAAAATGTGTAGCTCTTATGATGCAGTGTACTTGTAGCTCTTTTCTCCTATGTCTCAGACTGGCTTTTGGATACTTGAAAAAGTCATACGTCAGATAATCTGGGAGGAGAGATATTACCATATATATTCATGCATTTAAGAGTGAAAGCATTTAAAGCAGAATGCAAACCACTTGATAAATAGAACCGAAGAGAACACAAACCAAGCATGAAATTGCACCAAGTAATTTTCCCTATCTACATGCTAAGTAGAGCTAGATCTTCAGGAGGTAACTAATTTACATTTAGGAATGGAGAAGTAGCAAAAATCCCATTAATATTTACAGTTAGTCCAGTTGCTTAAATTGGTCCACATGACAAGAAATGTTTTATTCCAAAAACATCTCTCACCGTTCTAATTTTTAAAAATTGTGAAATAGGACTAGATTTCTTAAGGAGTAGTCCCTAGAAACCAATTAATATTGGAGGGTATCTCCATTAACAAGACCTTTGTGAAGAAAATACTTAAGCTCTAAATACCCAATTCTGAGGCAACACTCAAAGTATTTCAGCAGAATATGATGATAGGAAGACACTTTTCTCATTGCTAAGTGTCCTGGGTGGGCTGTTACTTGGCATTCCCCTGCAGTGCCCAGTTTGAGGTTGAATGAAGCAGGCCAGGGATGTGAGGCAGTTGTCCTTCCATTAACAGCCAGGGTAGAGAAGGGTGCTTGGATTTCCCAGGTAGTGGAGGATGGTCTGTCTTTCCCAACTTCTGCAGGTGTCTAAACCTGCGTCACTGACTAAAGTGAATGACTATAATGAAGAGGGCCAGCTTTCTGTCAAAAATATAGGAGTAGCTGCATGCCCCCATTGAGTTCATTCCAGATGGCGAAAGCCTGAAGTCCTAGAGTCTAAGGCCCAACAGAAGGGGGCGCTCTTGATTCCTTGAACCCACTTAGGAGCAAAGTCAACTGGAGGGTGTGTGCAGAGCAACAACATATCTCAATTTTATTGCCTCAGGGACCGCAAGTAACTTCTACTTTTTTTTTTTAAAGATTTATTTATGTATTATTCATTTATTTATACAAGCACTGGGTACAGTCAGAAGCACGGGAGGGTGAGAGAATTCACCAGAGCCAGAGCGGGGAACAGACGGGGCAGACTGATGAAATACACTGCTGAGGAGAGCGGCGGGTGGCAGGAGAGGTCTGCGCGCCATGTGGGACCCTCCTCCAGTGGTCGGGGAGCAGCCGGGGATCGAACTGGCACTGCAGAGGCTGTGGGCAGCTTTGCAACCCAGCGCTCAACCGCTGCGCCACCGGGGAGGCCCTAACTTCTACTTTTTTGTATACTTCAGGGAATAACAAGAGGGCTTGATTTAACTATTCATATAACAAATGTATTGAGACACTAACTTACTTAGACACTGGGGATACATCAGTGAACAAAACAGATAGAAGTGTCCCTTCCCTCATGGTGTTTACACTCCTGGTGGAGTGAGACAGAAAATAAAATATAACTACAAATAAATCAACTATGATAGGTGGCCCATGGCAATATGTGTTTTGGAGGAAAATAAGCAGCAAAGAGGAAGAGCGGATGCTGAAGGGATTGTGATTTTAAATACATGTGGCCTGGGTGTCTACTTAAGACAATTGAAGAAAGATGTGAGGGAAGGCGTGGTGCACACACATTCTTCACAGATATGCACAGGTGCCATCGTTAAATAGCACTCCATCTGCTACTTTCTTTTTTTTGTATATACAAACAGGCAGGTTAATTATCAAAAGGGAAGGGAAGTCAAGGATGCTTGTACAGACACAAGCAGGCAGAAAGAACTGCCCCTGAGAGGGACAGGTTTGCTTAAAGAGATGCCCACCTAGTCACAGGCAGACAGCCTGGGGAAGAGAGCAGCCTTGGGAGGAGAGCGGCCTCTGCTGCTTTGCAAAGGAAGAAGGTGAAGAGCAGCACTTGCCTGGTCATAGGTGGGCAGGAGGTCTGCTGGCTGGCTGCTGCCTCTGGCTTAGGCATGTTGAGAGGTCTTTCGGTATTGACTGACAAATCTCCCTCTGGTGGCTTTGCACATGTCGCATGTGGTAACCCATTTCCCCAAGAACGTACTAGTCTGTGGCTGCTTCATGGCCCCGCAGCAGGTCCAAGAGCAGAGAGGCCCTTTCTCTCCCTGTCCTCTGCATCAGCCACTTGGTAGCATCTTGTCCTCTCTTTTGCCAATATCTACATCCCACCTGCTTTTCCCCTTCTTTCTTGTTCAGGAAAGACCTGTTCTTGTTTGTTCCATTTTCTGAGTTCTCAGTCTAGTGGCTGCTCTTGCTGACAGATGTTCTCAGTGCCTCATTTGCTTGCTGACTTAGATGTGAAAGGAAACTCCGTGTAAGAGGATTTAGAAAAGCAATGTGCTGGCGTGTCACCAATAGTTGTGTCACTCACTGACATTTTTGTGCCTCATTTCTCCTAAAGCCTGTACTCCCCTGGAATATGAATGGGCCACAGTGGCTCTGAACACGACAGTCTCATTCTGGCCTCTAGTGGATGATGCTATCTCAGCATGTGGCCACCGTGCTTAGCAGCCCCGGCTTCAGACAGACTGCCACGATGTGGGCGACTTAGCAGCTGCAGATACAGAACCTTCTGTTAAAAATGTAGCTCTTTATTGCAGATCTCTGTGGGAAAATAAGCTAACTTTGCCTTAATATGTTTTCAGTACTTTGTTGTTGTTGTTCCATCCATGTGCCTCCAAAATAGAGTGGAAAAAAACTTACCCTTGACTTTCCAAATCCAAATCCTGTTTGTTTCCTCATCTAAAATTCTGCCAAACATTTTGTCTTTGCTGGGAAAGGTCCTGGAAATATTTAGGCAAATCATAATCAAATAATATGAGATGCGAGCATTCCGGTGCTTACAACAATTGTTTGACATGTATAACATGTTGTCTAGTTCTTCATATGCAGAGGGGATTTTGTAACTGTCCTCGTTGCTGCTTTCGTTGTCTTGATTCTCAAGGTTTTTATTTATTTGTACAGTAAGTGTTTTCTCTAGATTTTACCCCTTCCCCCATCTATTTGTAAATTTTGAGATGATGGGAACACAAAACTGCTTTTCCCCTTTCTCAACTTCTTGACTTCCATTTCTCTGCTCTGGTGGCTCAGGAGGCAGCAATGCCCCAAGCACATGTCACAAGTGTGGTCAGTGGGTGGCGTGTTTGGAGGGAATGTTGCTGTGCTTTCCAGGCCATTAAGTGAGCTCATTCAGCCTGAGCTGTTGGGCCGAGGTGAATGGTGGGTGGTAAAGCCTGGGAGGAAACCAAGCTCCAATAATTTCTGTCCTTATCACCATGTGGCTCCCCAGTGGGTGAATGAAATGGAGCCACTCTTGGGGGTTTACCATTGGGGCAGCTCGCATAGGGGTTCATCCATATCTAAGAACATGCATGGTGTGGAAGTGAAAGGCAGTGAATTATGCATAATGAAAGAGGCTTCCTTACACACAAATGAAAGAGCAGAAGTGTTGATGTTGCATTTTTCAGACAGTAGAAAGGAGTGAGGTCTGTTGAGTTGTGTTTATCTAAATTGTGTAGCAGATTGTTCCCTTTGAACATAATGCTAAGCAGTCATAGGTTTCAGGTGGCTCCTTTCTTCTAAGCTATAGATCCTTGGATAATTTAACAAAGAAAACATTACTGAAGGAATGGTGAGCTCTGGTTACCTAACTATAGTGAGTAAAATGGTCCAAGAAGTCATTTTATGCCATGGGCATCTCTCAAACCAGCAGAAGATTTTGTGAGCTGGGTGTAATTGTGATGACATTTCAGAGCTATACACATGAACTTCCCCCAGGCAGTTATCTCTCTCTTTCTGATATGCAAGTACAAAGCAATGGCACCATCATGCAGCTAAATTGTTTCCCTCTGCTTTTATTGCCACAGATTTTGTAGTTTTTCAAGACCAAGCTTGGCTGAAGCAGAAGAAGGAAACTCCACAGGGATTTATTCAAGTGCTTATGCTGTTGGTAGGTGGCCAAATCTTTACTATGCCAAGTGGTCAAATCTGTTAGATGGACAGAAATGGAGAACAGTTGTTTAAATAGTGTTTCCTGCATGCCAAACCCAATTAAAATTTAAAAGGCAGGAGTTGCTGATAAGCAGGGGGGTGAAGAAAGGGAACGTAGATCCATGCCAGCAGATCATAGAATCGGTTTTGGAAAAACACTTGTAGATCTATAATTTTGAAAATTTTCTCCAAAAGTTCCTTATTCGAGAACAACCATGGATGCCTCCAGCATCATCTCTCATACTCTGCTCCCACTTATGTTCCTTTGCCCCCACTCCACGAGGGAGGGTCAGTCCCAGGTTCAGTCCCGGCATCTTTGGGTACCGATGGACCGATGTGCCAGCAAAACCCTCTCTCCTAGGGTGGTCATTCAGGGGTTCCCATGGGCTCTGTTTATGCGGTGAAGGAGGAGCTGCTTGGTGAAGAAGTCAAGGCCCTCCTGTGGCCAGTGACTGCTCTTTCCTGGGGAGAACACAGTCTTCCAGGCCTGGATGGAACCATGCTATTGAGCATGTGCAGTGGCAGCCGTCACAGGAACCAGGCAGCCGTCACAGGAACCAGCTCTCCCTTCCTGTTTAGGGACCCTTTGTTAAAGGAGCAGCACAAGATCATTTTTGTCATTCCAAGGTTAGATAAAGATTTCACAGATCTGATGGTTGCATCCCCATGTCTGCGGCCATCTTCTTGCTATAAAGACTGACTGGCACATATCACTGCCTGAGGAAACTCCCACTGGGACAGTGGAGATTCAGGGAGGCAATAATTAACACGTGGCTTCCCTTACCAATTATGGAACTCAGGAATCAGACAGGAGATGAAGTGTCAGTTTTCTTAGGCAGCGGTATGGCTGTGGTTATGGATTCAAGTTGGCACTGGATTCAGGAGACGTGAAATGGTTTTAGTCTTGTATTACATTTAGGGAACTTTATAGAAAGACGCAAAGTGGGAGGTGCAGTAGGCACAGCTTAATTTAAAAAATTAAATTTACTTTCTATTTAATTTTGGGACAATATATGATTTCTCCTCTCAGGTGTGGTCACTGTAGTTCTCCCACCACCAAAGCACCCACATTCTGCTACCATATTCCCTTATGGATATGGATGCCTCATATCCATGTCAGCTTTCAAGGTTTGTGTTTATCTGAATCTTTTTTTGGTTTTCCTATATTCCACATATAAGTGAAACCACCCAACAGTTAGCTTCATCTCCTCAAGAGGCCAGCAGCAAGCCAAGGAGCAGCTTCTTTGCTGTCTCTTACATGAAGTGTGTAAGGCTGCCATGGACATGGATGAAGGCAAGGCCTGTGGGCTCCAGGAACACACAGGAGCCCCCTCTCTCTCCATGTTTGTATCATGCAAGTGGTATGGGCCCTGGCTTCCTCACCAGCCCTGGTGCAAAGTCACTCAGCAGGGTGTGGGAAGGATACTGTAGGGTAAGGAGAAATGTCAGGCTTTTCTGCCCTCCCGCCATCAGGATAGATGATGGAGCCTTGCGGTCCTGAATGCATGCCTGATGGCGGGCACCTGGAATAGGGTGTGGGCATAGGTAGATGGGATTCACCTGGGCTGAGACTGGGATTTTTTAAGGGTGGCATCGAAACCGAGAAAGAAGCAGAGAAGCAGCAGAAGCTGAGAGGGAAGCAGAGAGAACACCAAAGAGCCCAGATAGAGTGAGGACTTGCTGGGGGCTGGGAGGACTGCCAGCCTCCTGGCGCCCAGCACCCCTGCCTGCTGTGTACCTGGTAATCCCAATAAAAGACCTGCAAAACACCACAGAAGACTCTGACTCCTTTACCCGGTCTGCTGGATCCTAGAAAACCTGCACTGTGGCCTGTCCTGCCTTTACAGATACTCTCCCTTTCTCTTAACTCTCTTGTTTTTAAGGGAGTTCTGAGGGGCCAGAGCAGTGGTAGGCCTGATGTTAACCCTTTCCTTGCCATTACAACTCAAATGTGTCTCCGAATTCCTGCTCTCCCCACCCCAACCTATTCCTCCTCTAGCCTTCCCATCTCCCTCGAGTTCATGTCCACCTGCCAGTCACACAGAACAAATGCCTTCAAGCAAACCATGGCTCCTTCTCTCCTTCTTGTGCAGCTTCTTTTTCATGATTCCAAGTGTTTAAAAAAATGGATGGCTGAAAATTGAGACCCAGCTGTGCCGTACCAACGTTTAGATGAAATGAGGGAATCCACTCGGTGGCTTTCCTGTTTGCATCACCTGATATTTGATTTATTCTTAGTTTAGTAAAGGGGCAGCTATGAGGTGGGAGGGGCTATTTCTGCAGGGAATTATAATTGGTATCTGTCCATTCATCACTCTGAATAGGAAAATATAATCAAGCTAAGATCCGCTCTGTCCTCTGAAAGGCCTCATCTTTTCTGGAGACTTTGTAAGCAAATTGGTTTTCCTGATGATTGAAAGTTTAAAGCCCACAGACACATAACTTCCAATACTAGACCTTCCTTTCTCTAAATTCAGTGTGGTTACTTACAGTCTCCTTGATGTTGCCGGGGTTATTTTGCTCATTAGGCTAGAGGGGTAGATTGCTATTTCATTTTCTTTGATGGGTTTCATGTGTTAAATTTCTTCTAGGATCAGTTGAAAAATTCTTCAGCAAGAGCGAGCTTCAAGAAGAAGAGAAAGAAAATAAGGTAACCTGCCCATGCACTGTGCGAGTGATCAACATGCTAGTCCCATTTAATTTTGAATAATCCTCGTGTTTCCAAACAGGGAAAACCTTGCATGAGTGGGAAGGGCATTTGGACATTAGATGGGCATGACACATAGTGGATGGGAGAAGTTGATGAACCCCATTTGAATTATGGTTTTTCCTAAAGCCAGGTGAGGATTTCAGAGTTTCCCCCAACAAGCATCACTTTAGTAGAATTGTGGCAATTGGAGTGAATATGCCTTTAAAGTGGATTATTGGTTATTATGTATATTAAGTGATTTAATGCAGGTGGAAACCTTGGCAAACAGCCTGGCTTTTTCCAGGTGTTCCTCTTCTCTTATTTAGGCAACCCCCCCATATGCAAAGTTGTTGTCATTAGGAAACAAGATAAAAAGTTCAGCATTCACAGAGTAAAAATATTGAGTGCTGTGAAATCTGTAATCATAAGTCAAATGAAAGGTTGAGAGTGTCAACCTGAATCCTCAAAGACCTGATTGTTACATAAATGAAAGGTAAGCTGATCAAAGAACAGGTGTTTCTCTTTTGGTATATGAAAATGCATGTGATAGACATGCATTGATCTATTAGAATTCATGGTTTGCAATTCATTTTTATGATTTACAAATATATTTGAACATAGTTTATTCATTTAATAATACAGTGTACTTTTTTTTAATAATAAATTTTATTTTTATATTCCCCATACAATTGCAGCCCCCCCATTCTGACCCCAATCTCTCCCCTCCCACGCCCACCCCCTTAAAAGTGTCTCTGGTTCGTAGTTTTTTGTTGATTTTGATTTTCACTTTCTTATAGTTATTCATTTTCCTGGTCCCTTAATTTAAGTTTTCTAGATTCCTGCTATGAGTGAGACCATCCGGTATTTTTCTTTTTCTTTCTGGCTTATTTCGCTGAGCATGATCCCTTCCAGTGCCATCCATGTTGCTGCAAATTGCATGTGTTTATCTTTTTTGAATGCTGAGTAATATTCCATGGTATATATGTACCACATCTTCTTGATCCAGTCATCTATTTTTGGGCATTTGGGTTGTTTCCAAAGCTTAGCTATTGTAAACAGTGCTGCTATAAACATAGGGGTGCAGGTGTTCTTTGGAATTGATGTTGCTGTGTCCTTTGGGTAAATACCTAGGAGTGGAATTGCTGGATCATATGGGAGCTCTATGTTTAGTAGGTCCAGAAATCTCCACACAGCTCTCCACAGTGGTTGGACCAGTTTGCACTCCCACCAACAGTGCAGAAGATTTCCTTTTTCTCCACACCCTCGCCAACATTTGTTGTTGCTAGTTTTTTTAATATGTGGCATTCTCACTGGTGTGAGATGGTATCTCATGGTAGTTTTGATTTGCATTTCCCTGATGACAAGTGATGTTGAACATTTTTTCATATGCCTGTTGGCCATTTGCATTTCCTCTTCAGAGAAGTTTCTTTTTAGCTCTTCTGCCCATTTTTTGACTGGATTATTTTCTTTGTTGTTGTTGAGTCTCATCAGCTCTTTGCAGATTTTTGTGATCAGTCCTTTATCATTAGTGTTGGGTGCAAAAATGTTCTCCCAGTTGGTGGGGTTTCTCTTTGTTTTTGTTATAGTCTCTTTTGCTGTGCAGAAGCTCTTTAATTTGATGTAGTCCCAGCTGTTTATCTTTGCCTTCACTATCACTGCTTTGGGTGATGTGTCTGTAAAGATGTCTTTGATGTGCAAATCACGTAGTGTTTCGCCTATATTTCCTTCTATATATTTTATGGTTTCAGGTCTTATGTCTAGTTCTTTAATCCATTTTGAGTTGATTTTTGTGTATGGTGTGAGGTAGCGGTCAAGCTTCATTCTTTTGCATGTAGCGACCCAGTTTTCCCAGCACCATTTATTGAACAAACTTTCTTTGCTCCAATGCATAGTCTTTGCTCCTTTGTCAAAGATTAGTTGACCATAAATCTGTGGTTTTTTTTCTGGATTTTCTATTCGATTCCATTGTTCTGTATGTCTGTTCTTGTTCCAATACCATGCAGTTTTGATGATTATGGCTTTGTAGTAGAGTTTGAAGTCTGGGAGTGTGATGCCTCCATTCCCTTCTTTTTTTTTCAGGAGAGCTTTGGCTATTCGGGGTTTTTTGTGATTCCATATGAATTTCATCAATAATTGTTCTATTTCTTTGAAGAATGACATCGAAATTTTGATTGGAATAGCATTGAATCTGTATATTGCTTTTGGGAGGATGGCCATTTTTATAATGTTTATTCTTCCAATCCATGAGCAGGGGATGTCTTTCCATTTCTTTGTGTCTTCTTCTATTTCTTTTAACAGTGTTTTATAGTTTTCTTTGTATAGGTCCTTTACCTCTTTTGTTAGATTTATTCCCAAATATTTGATTTTTTTTGTTTCAATAAAAAAAGGGATGGTTTTTTTTATTTCTTCTTCTTCAGATTTATTGTTTGTGTATAGGAAGGCTACTGACTTTTGCGTGTTGATTTTGTATCCTGCCACTTTACTGAGCTGATTGATGAGTTGAATTAGTTTTTCTGCGGACTTTTTGGGGTTCTCTATGTATATTATCATATCATCTGCAAATAGTGATAGTTTGACTTCTTCTTTTCCTATTTGGATTCCTTGGATGTCTTTCTCTTGTCTTATTGCTCTGGCTAGGACTTCCAGTATTATATTGAAAAGCAGTGGTGAGAGTGGACATCCTTGTCTTGTTCCAGATCTTAATGGAATTGCTTTCAGCTTTTCACCATTGAGAATGATACTGGCTGTTGGCTTGTCATAGATGGCCTTTATGATGTTGAGGTATGTTCCTTGTATCCCCAGAATTTCAAGGGCTTTTATCATGAATGGGTGTTGCACTTTGTCGAAAGCTTTCTCAGCATCTATTGATATTATCATATGGTTTTTATATTTCTTTTTGTTGATGTGTTGGATAACGTTGATTGATTTTCGGATGTTAAACCATCCTTGTGTCCCTGGAATGAATCCTACTTGGTCGTGGTGAATTATCTTATGGATACATTGTTGGATTCTGATAGCTAAAATTTTATTGAGGATTTTTGCATCAGTGTTCATTAGGGAGATTGGCCTGTAGTTTTCCTTTTTTGTGTTGTCCTTGTTCGGTTTTGGTATTAGTGTAATGTTGGCTTCATAGAACGTGTTTGGTATTGTCCCTTCCCTCTCAATTTTTTGGAAGAGTTTGTGAAGGATAGGCACTAATTCGTCTCTGAATGTTTGGTAGAATTCATTTGTAAATCCATCAGGTCCTGGGCTTTTGTTTTTGGGGAGGTTTTTGATTACCATTTCAATTTCGCTGCTTGTAATTGGTCTGTTTAGGTGTTCTATTTCTTCTTTATCTAGCTTTGGGTGATTGTAGAGTTGTAGGAATTTGTCCATCTCCTCTAGATTGTTAAACTTGTTTCCATATAACTGTTCATAGTAGTTACTGATTATTCTTTTGATTTCTGCTGTGTCCGTTGTGATTTCTCCTCTTTCATTGATGATCCTGTTTATTTGTGCTTTCTCCCTTTTTTCCTTTGTGAGCCTGGCTAGGGGTTTGTCTATTTTATTGATTTTTTCAAAGAACCAGCTCTTGGTTTCATTGATCTTTTGGATTGTTTTTTTGGTTTCAATTTCATTTATTTCTGCTTTTGTTTTTATTATTTCTTTTCTTCTACTGGTTTTGGGGTTTTTTTGTTGTTCCTTTTCTAGATCTTTGAGCTTCGAGATTAGGTTGTTTCTTTGAGTTCTTTCTTGTTTCTTGATGTGAGCTTCTATTGCTATATATTTTCCTCTTATTACTGCTTTTGCTGCATCCCATACATTTAGGATATTGGTGTCCTCCTTGTCGTTCAATTCAAAGAATTTTTTAATTTCTTCTTTGATCTCCTCATTAGTCCAGTGGTCTTCCAGTAGTGTGGTTTTTAATCTCCATGAGGTAGGAAAGTTCCTTGCCTTCTTTTTATGGTTTATTTCTAGTTTGATGCCTTCATGGTCAGAAAAGATGGTTGATATGATTTCAATCTTGGTGTATCTGTTGATGTTTGTCTTGTGCCCCAGTGTGTGATCGATCCTGGAGAATGATCCGTGTGCGCTTGAAAAAATGTGTACTCCGGTTTTTTGGGGTTTAGTGTTCTATAGATGTCTGTTAAGCCCAATTGCTCTAGGTCCTTATTTAGAGCTTTGGTTTCTTTACTTATTTTTTGTCTTGTTGATCTATCCATTGTTGATAGTGGTGTGTTGAAGTCTCCCACTACGTATGTGTTTTCTCTGATGTCTGTTTTCAGAGAGGACAACAGTTGTCTGATATATTTTGGTGCTCCTTCGTTTGGTGAGTATATGTTAATGAGTGTTATTTCTTCTTGAAGTATTGTCCCCTTGATCATAATGTAGTGACCATAAAAATACAGTGTACTTTTCATGTGTTTTCAAGAGTGTGTTTTCCATGGGGCTTATAGTTCAGATGTAAATACCTCATGTAACATGGTTAACAAATTACAAATATACAACTCTGGACAGCAGCCTTTATGGCTTTTTGAATCCTAGGAACTTAGGTTGATGATTTCAACATTGTAGGAAAAATGTTGCAGAATTGAACAGAGCCAAATTGGCCACTGAAATTTTAGGCTGGAAAGGAATAAACTATAAATCAGTGAACGGAGAAAATAATGAACCCAGAAAGGCAAGGGGCTGGGAGGGCATTTTGGGGGAACTTAGAGCAAGAAGTACCAGTGTGTGGGTGCGAGGGGCATGGCAGGATGTGAAGAAGTTTTTTTTTCCCCCCCAAATCTATTTATTTATTTATTTATTTATAAAAATAAATTTTATTTTTATATTCCCCATACAATTGCAACCCCCTGATTTTGACCCCAATCCCTCCCCTCCCCGCCCCCCATCCCCCATAGAGTGTCTCTGGTTCACAGTTTTTTGTTGATTTTGATTTTCACTTTCTTATAGTTATTCATTTTCCTGGTCCCTTATTTAAGTTTTCTAGATTCCTGCTATGAGTGAGACCATCCGGTATTTTTCTTTTTCTTTCTGGCTTATTTCGCTGAGCATGATCCCTTCCAGCGCCATCCATGTTGCTGCAAATTGCATGTGTTTATCTTTTTTGAATGCTGAGTAATATTCCATGGTGTATATGTACCACATCTTCTTGATCCAGTCGTCTATTTTTGGGCATTTGGGTTGTTTCCAAAGCTTAGCTATTGTAAACAGTGCTGCTATAAACATAGGGGTGCAGGTGTTCTTTGGAATTGATGTTGCTGTGTCCTTTGGGTAAATATGTAGGAGTGGAATTGCTGGATCATATGGGAGCTCTATGTTTAGTAGGTCCAGAAATCTCCACACAGCTCTCCATAGTGTTTGTACCAGTTTGCACTCCCACCAGCAGTGCAGGAGAGTTCCTTTTTCTCCACACCCTCGCCAACATTTGTTGTTGCTAGTTTTCTTAATATGTGCCATTCTCACTGGTGTAAGATGGTATCTCATGGTGATTTTGATTTGCATTTCCCTGATTACAAGTGATGTTGAACATTTTTTCATATGGTTGTTGGCCATTTGCATTTCCTCTTCAGAGAAGTTTCTTTTTAGCTCTTCTGCCCATTTTTTGACTGGATTATTTTCTTTGTTGTTGAGTCTCATCAGCTCTTTGCAGATTTTTGTGATCAGTCCTTTATCATTAGTGTTGTGTGCAAAAATGTTCTCCCAGTTGGTGGGGTTTCTCTTTGTTTTTGTTATAGTCTCTTTTGCTGTGCAGAAGCTCTTTAATTTGATGTAGTCCCAGCTGTTTATCTTTGCCTTCACTATCACTGCTTTGGGTAATGTGTCTGTAAAGATGTCTTTGATGTGAATATCATGTAGTGTTTTGCCTATATTTCCTTCTATGTATTTTATGTCTAGTTCTTTAATCCATTTTGAGTTGATTTTTGTGTATGGTGTGAGGTAGTGGTCAAGCTTCATTCTTTTGCATGTAGCGACCCAGTTTTCCCAGCACCATTTATTGAACAAACTTTCTTTGCTCCAATGCATAGTCTTTGCTCCTTTGTCAAAGATTAGTTGACCATAAATCTGTGGGTTTATTTCTGGATTTTCTGTTCGATTCCATTGATCTGTGTGTCTGTTCTTGTTCCAATACCATGCAGTTTTGATGATTATGGCTTTGTAGTAGAGTTTGAAGTCTGGGAGTGTGATGCCTCCATTCCCTTCTTTTTTTTTCAGGAGAGCTTTGGCTATTTGGGTTTTTTTGTGATTCCATATGAATTTCATCAATAATTGTTCTATTTCTTTGAAGAATGGCATTGAAATTTTTATTGGAATAGCATTGAATCTGTATATTGCTTTTGGTAGGATGGCCATTTTAATAATGTTTATTCAGGATGTGAAGAAGTTTGAAAGGGAAATAAGCAGGAGTTTTATTGGAATTTGGCTTTTTTTGGGTATTTTTAGAAAGACTACAAAAACATTTGAATTGCTTCTTACTTTATTTTTGATGGTTAGGCTGCTGTTTCATTGATGATGATAAACAGGGACAGGCTCTAGAAGAGACATGTTACATTTTTGCTACACAAATGTATAGGAAGCATTTTATTTTATTTTTTAAAGATATTTTATTTATACAAGAGCTGGGGTACAGGCCAGAGGCGCGGGAGGGTGAGAGGATTCACCAGAGACAGAGCAGGGAGCAGAACAGGCAGACGGACCAAAAGCACTGCTGAGGGGAGCAATGGGTGAGACAGGTGAGGTCTGCCATGCCATGTGGGTTTCTCCCTGGCTGGCTGGCTGGCAATCGAACCCACACTGCAGAGGCTGTGGACAGCTTCACAGCACTGTGTTCAACCCACTGCACCATGGGGAAGCATTCTAGATTGGAAGTCAGCATTCTCAGATTTAAGAATTGAAACAAGTTTATCATGTTTGACTTATCCATAGAATGTATAGAATTATAGAATGAGGAAAAATTGCACATGAAATATATTTCTTACATTTTGTTGAAAGCCAGGAGGCATCACCCCACAATTGGGATTATAACTTTTGAGAGAATACATGGTAATATCCAAAGCCTGGATATTCCAGGTGGAGACTTAGTCCTTTGTCGTATTATGAGGATCTGCATAATGAGGAAGTCTTATTTAAGAAGTGGGTTTTGGTCTAACCTTGATAGTAAACTTTATTTCCTAAGAAACTGGTGTCTGTTCAAGGAAAGAGCAAGAAGGCTGATGACAAAGATGCTTTGTCCAGTTCAAGCTGACTCCTCCCAGCACCAGCTCTTGAGGTTGCATCCACTAATGTGGGTTGGCTGTGGCCTGGGACTGCAATTAACTAGGGAACCACAGAAACATGGTTAGGTTCCTCTCTCTCAGTCTCTGTGTCAGAGACCGAAGTAGAAGTCTGAGTGTGGTTAGCCAAGGTCAAAGAGACTGCACAGCAGTGAACCCAGAGGGGTTAAAAAATGTTAGTCTTCTCTGTTAATGTTTTCATTTTGGTGGACTATGTCTTTTGGATGAGCTGGGCTGATGTGGTTGAAAGAAAGAAAAGCGATACCTTGTGTCTGTGATATATGTGCTCTGTGCAATGTATTTAATTATGTTTTATTTTTATTTTGAAGATGTACGATCTTTCTTCTCTGTACTAATGTTTCAGTCACTCATTGTCTTTTGTTCCATTCCAGGAGCAAAAGAGAGATGATGATTTCTCCCAGTGGTTACTCCTGCCTGATGAAATATGGATTTGTGTATTTTCCCTTCTGTCACACAAGGAGCTTGCTCGGGTAGCACGAGTGTGTCACCATTTCTACCGACTTGCAAATGATGAAAGCCTCTGTAAGCAGACAAAACAATATTTGAAATGAATGGCCCATAACTGGGAAGAAAATATCCATATGACTTTTAGTTTGCTTTCTACTTTTTCCATTGTATAAAGGGTCCTTTGGAAACTGCATTATACTTTCTTGGCCATTAGTTTTTGGTTAGTTCAATACTACCACTTATTCTCTTGTTTGTCCATTCATTCAATCTGTAAATTAGGTGCTATGGGGATAACATAGGGATAACACAAGTTGATGAGACATTGTCCTACTCTAAATGTATATCTGTGATTTGGGAGATAGCTCTATAACCTACTAATTGAGACACAACTAATAATGGCAACAACAATAATAATGATCATTATAATCATTTATTGACACTTTCTATGTGCAGGCATCATAGTCTGTCATGCCCTTTATCTCACACATTTCTCACAGCAATAATATAAATCAGAATTTTCTTCATCTCCGTCTTGCAGATGCAGGAACTCTGTGTTGGAGAGCTTAAATAATGTGCTTACAGCCTCATGGTGTGTGGGTAGCAGAGCCTGTTGATTTTCAGTACTGATAATACACGGGGAAAAGAAAAGTATTGGATAGCTATGGAAGGAGGAGGTAGCATTTGTGATATTTGAAGAATGAATAGCATTTGGAAAGTGGAGAAATGGAAAGTAGCAGGAGGAAGGGCATTTTGAAGAGACAGAACAGCAAGAAGAAAGCAAAGAAGCCTTGTATCTGTTAGGGATTACATTTGACTACTGGGTTACAGAGACCTGAAACAACGGTAGCTTAACCTTTCAAGAAAATCCTCTTTTTTTTTTTCAACACATGACATGAAACCTATAGGCATATTGCCCAGATTGATGTAATTGCTTGGTGATGCCATCAAGGGCCACATTCCTTCTCTAGTTTTGTTCTCCCATTCTCAGGTCGTAACTTCAATCTTGATTACTTTATGCTTATAAGATGATTGTTGTAGGTCAAACCAGCATGTCTTTCTTTGTTCTGGAAAGAAAGAAAAAGCAGGAAAGTAGGGACAAGTAAAAGGGTGGCTACTCTCTGAGTCAACCCTAGTTATAGATTTTATAGATATTTCTTTTTATAATCCATCTAATGACTTTTTACATTTCGTTGGCTACCTCTTTTTATATGGTGGAGTAGGAAATGCAGGTATTTTTATGAGTACATCATCTTCCCCAACATTATGGGGATTCTGTTTAGAAGAAGAGCATGCATTCTGAGCAGGTTACCTTCCCAGTGCTTGCTATAGACTTGAAGCATGAACACCTACCACGTAGAAAGTAGAGTTGAGAATGTTGTGGAGAAGGGGGATTGGATCAACTCATGGAGGGGGTCCCTTGAATGCTATACTCAGCCTAGATTTTAACCTCTAGATAACAGGGAACATTTGAAGGCTTCTGAGTGAGTTTTAGAATGATTTATCTAGAAGCAATATGAAACATACATTAGACAGTGAAACCTCTATAAACACAACAAATTGGAGTCTGCACTGTACATTGGGCAGAACAAATAGGATGGAAGAGTGTCAACAGTGGGTATAGAGAGGAAGGAATGGGTGCTGAGACCCTCTGCTGCTCAGTCAACATGACCACTCGCTCACTGCAGTAACTGAGGACTTACGGGACACGGAGAACACAGTTGCTTTCCCAACTGTCTCCTTGCAAGTTCATTCCATTATTAGCAAAATGGGGCTCAGTAACATATGGAGAACAAATCCCAGCAGAAGAGTTCTATTTTGGGGGGGGGGGCAGGGAGGAGTTTCTAACAAGAGACCAGGGGATTTGTGAAGGAGATTTCCAATTTAGGGTCACTTGGCTTTTTGGGTCATTTTATCCTGGGTGTTTGTTGTCTTCCAACCAGGCAGCAGGAAAATCATAAGGTTTCCAAAACCAGGGGTTCATGAATTTTGACCCAGGGGTCAAGTTTGAAAGCCACCTGTTTTTGTAAATAAAATGTCATTGGAATGCAGCTTTGCTATTTGTGTACATATTGTCTATGACTACTTTCTTGCCTCAGTGGTAGAGTGGAGCAGTTGAAACAAAGACCATAGGATCCACAGAACCAAATGTGTTTACTATTTGAAGTTCCCTAAAACTTAAAAAAAAAAATGTTTCCTGGCTCATGCTAAAAACAATGTGATTCCTCTTCTTCCAGGGCAATTTCTATGGAAGGAGAATACTATGATCCTTTCATTTCTGGGCCTGAGATACAGGGACTTCATTAGTGCTTTTTTAGTGTTTGAGCATGCTTGAGAAACCAATTTAAAAAATCAACACCAAATCAAAATAAAACCAAAATAAAATTGCATTCTGTTTGCTTGCTCTTGGGTGATTATGTAAATTTTGTGGCCAGAGAAACATATAACTAAGAGTCCCAGATCAGGATTTTAATGTCGCACATTTAATATACATTTGCTCCTGCAACCTCAAATGTGAACACCGACCGAGCCCTCAAATTTAAATGTTTACCTTGTGGAGTAATGAAAGTAAACTTCTTAATTATTTATGGCTCACCTTAATTTAAGGTCATTTTAGGATTATTATTTATATGTAATGTGTTTCAACATAGGGAGGGATAAATGTTTAAATGGGGGGTGGAAACGAATAGTTAAGAGTATATAATACTTCTAGAGACCTTTGTTCTGCTAATGGCTGCTAAGTCCATTCCTCTAATTGCCATGTATCTTTGTTGGGGGAACAATACGCCCTGAATGCGCTCCACCCCACCTCCATGCCAAAGAGATCCCGGCACATGGACTGCAACTCCTATCATGCTGTGGAGCCACAGTAACCCTTGGAAGGGGATTGCTAGGAAGAAAAGGTGGAGTTAGCAGCCATGCTTGATAGGAAAAGGTAGGACATGTGGGCCGGAGGGAACTTGGTGTTGTCTGCCTTCAGCTTGCACTCGGGGTTCCTGCTCAGCCAGCGTTACCAGTAGGATACATTAACCAATGAATCTCTATATAACACCCTCTCTGTGCTCTGTTTCATTTCTCTTGGAAATAACCCTTTTGTTAACTTTCCAATGTGTGCCCGCCCCTGGGTCAGTCTTGTTGTGAGTTGTTTTAAACACACAGGGAAGGACGCACACCAGACCATCCCATTTTCCTTTGGGGTATCGCTGTAACATCTTCACATTTACTAAATTGATAGGGAAAAAAATTCAGGAGTAAATAAGACCCCCCTGAGCTTTTGGGTGTGTTAGGCTCTCGTAGGCTGGGGTCTCCAGGGTGCTGTTCAAGCACTCAGTGAGGGGATGATGTTTATGCAGTAGCTGAGGCTTTCTAGTTCTTCTGTCTGTGATTTAAGTTGAGACCTTCAAGAGCTGCTCTTCTCCCTGCCTGGCAGTGTCCCCTGGGGGAATCTCTGCTGGCCTGCGGCCATCACCTGCTTCTATTGAGAAACAGCCTAGGAGATGCTTTGTGTTTTGGGGAAGCTTGTTGTTGAGAACAGCACTCTGTTGAGACCATCACAGGCCTCTCTACGTGGCCCCGTGGGGAGGCTCACTCCCCAAAATAGCTGTGCTTCCTCCAAGGACTCTTGATTCATTTCAGGGCACTGAATAAGAAAACGCAGGGCCCCCCTCAAACCCATGTGAAGAAAATTGTGTATTTCGTTGACCAAGCACAATGCTGGCTCTGGCTCTTCACATCAGTTTTTATAATTTTTTAATTAGTTAAAAGTTATAATCTTTATAAATTTTTGATAATTATTTTTGTCATTTAAAATACTCTTTAAAATTATACACTGCCCTGTCGACAGGTTCTTAGAAGCTGCCTGAGCTTTTTTGGAATCAGGAAACTGTGGTTCTTAAAGTTGAGCAGGCATCTGAATTGCCTGGAAGACTTGTTAAAAGGCAGGTGATCATTCTTATTTCAACTTGGTGATTTGGGCTGACATTGTGAATTTCTTATATAGCCCCAGGATGAGTTGATGCTGCTGGTCCAGAAGCTTTGAATCCGCTGTGGTTAAGAAAATAAACAAGATAAAAACAACTTTTTGATAATTTATTATATTAGCATCCTGTCAATTGAGCAGTGGGATTTTTTGTTGTTTTTTTAATTCTTATGCTGCTGGCACCAAACTAGACGGAAGGCGGGATGATTCCTTGTCCTGAGGAGATTTTCTGATAGGTTGCAGAGATTGGAAATACTTACGAAGCAGACAAAAAGGATAATGTTGTGCCAAGTGTAGATGGGACAATTCACTGTGTATTTGGGTCTTTAAGAAGGAACACAAGGGTGAAATTAGGGCTTGAGCTGCTCTTTGATACTGTTAGGGGAAAAAGGCTGTCCCAAAGCTAATTCCATACAGGCTTTGTGGACTCCACCGCCACCCCAGTGTTAGGGGGAAAAGGCTGCCCCAAAGCAAATTCCATACAGGCTTTGTGGACTCCACCCCCACCCCAGGTCAAAGCCAAAGACACTGGGAACTCCAAATCCCATCACCACTAAAGGGAAGGTGGCTGGGACCTGAGGGTGGGGTTAAGCAGCCAGGTGGATACAAAAGGCAGACATGTGGGCTTTGGGGCGCTCTCCATTTTGGGGCCCTCGGCCAGCTCGCGGCGTCCGTCTAGCTCTGAGAGTGACTTTGGGTTTCCAGGTCGTCGGATCGGGTAGGACGCATTAAAGACTTTATTTCCCTATTTTCTCCCTGAGTTGTACATTTTCCTTATTTCTTTTTCTCTTGTAAATAAACCTTTTATTAACCCTTTTGCGTGTGTCTGTAGTAGAGTATTCACAAGTCCCTTTAAAGCGCGCGGGTGAGGACCCACAGCCAGGAACCCGTTTAATATCGGGGTTGCTCTATAACAATACAAGGATAGGTTCAGTGTTCTCCTCTTGGCCATGGAGGAGGGGATCCCCCTACATCGGGGCTCCTCTCCTTTTTCATCTCCTGTCTGGTTTCCACCTGATCAGTCCCTTCTTGTTCCTTGACTCCTGTGCTTTCCAAGACTGTTTCTGATCCTTTGTCCCATATCTCCACCTGAGATTCA